ATTATAGATGGCTGTGAGCCACCATGTGGTTGCTGGGAATTGAACTCAGGACCTCTGGAAGAGCAGCCAGTGTTCTTAACCTCTGAGCCATCTCTCCAGCCCTACTTAAAACTTTTACTAAGCTGAGAACTAGTGAGTATGATGAGACACTGACATATTAGTAACTCCATATGCAGAACTCATATGCACTCTTAACGTTGAAAACAATCAAGAGTAACTGTAGTTCCTTCAGTAAAGACTGTTTGTGATATGTTGGATGCTCTTTTGAGGCTGGAAACCAAATATGACGATTCTTAAAGCTGCTAAGTTTTAAGAAATTGGTTCTGCACTGGATGATGTGGCGCATGCCTAATCTCAGCACTCAGGATGCAGAGGCGGGCGGATCTCTGAGTTTGAGATCAGCCTGTTTTACAGAGCGAGTCCAGGACAGCCAGGGCTACACAGAGAAACCCTGTCTCAGAAAAACATAAAAAAAGGAAATTGTTTATTGGCAATAATTATGATGCAAAGCATGTAGAAGCCACTGGGAGGATGAATTTATAGACTAGTACAGTGAACCTTTACTACAGAAGTTCTACTCCTTAAGGGAGTAGTTACTGTAGTTTTGTTATAACTGATGACCTATAAAAATAATTCTTCAATCAACCTGGGCGCAGAGGGTCCAGTGGAGTCTGAAGTACCAACTAAGGACAGTGCATGGTCTGAACCTAGGTCCTCTAAGTTCTTAAAAGTAGCCGATGGGCATCTCAGGCTTCATGTGGGTCCACTAGTTAGGGGAATAGGGGATTTCTCTGACATGGACTAAATTGCCTACTTTTTATCACTTTCCCCCGATGGGACTGCTGTACCAGGCCACAGGGGAGGAAGACAAACTCAGCCCTCATGTAAATAGAAGAAGAGCTGGGGTGTGCGGGTAGAGGGGCTCCCCTCTTCTATTCCTTAGAATAGGGGAGGGGGGACTCAGGAGGGAGGGTGGGACTGGGAGGAGAGGAAAGAGGAGCCTGTGACTGAGATGTACATTGAAGTATTTAAAAAAAATAAAGAAAAAGGAAAAAAAAATTCTGAGGGCTGGAGAGATGGCTCAGCGGTTGAGAATATTTGTTGCCCTTCCAGAGGACCTAGGTTTGACTCTGTGGTGCTCACAGTGATCTGCACCTCCAGTCTGAGTGGATCTGATGCCCTCTTCTGCCTCCATGAGGCACAGGTGTTCATACAGCAAAACACCCATACACATAAAATAAAAACAAGTAAATCTGAAAGAAAGTACAAGTGATTAAGCTTTTAGACCTTGTGGGGTTATGTACATGCTTGGGAAGGGATGGACTGAGGAGCACAGAGTAGGAGGCAGAACAGGTGGCTCTTGAAAGTGACTGGTGGACTCCTGAAGCTGGCTCAGGAGACTGACTGCCCAGCCAAGGACATGGCACATGAAAGTCGCAGAGACCTCAGCTGGGGCTTGGTATGGAGAGTAACTGAAGGTAGAGAGGAATATCGGGCCTTGATCCCTGCATCCCTCCATAGTTTTTTCATCAGAGACAGGTAGGGTAATGGGTTCCTAGTGTGGGCCTGGTCTGTGGAAAGTGCTCAGTGTAGACACAGCTGTTGTTTTGTGAGGGGTGGGGAGTGGCAACAGGAGAGGTCTTCATGCTTTGATAAATGGAAATGAGGGAGTGAGCAAAGCTTTTCCCCTGAGGTAGGCTATGGCTAGGATGATGGTGGTTGCTGTCTGAGAGCCTCTGTTGGCTCTGTGTGTTCCATTACCTGCCACCTTTTCCACTGAGGTGGGCCTTAGTGACAGAAGAAAGCTAGCTGTCAGGATGGTAGGTTGGGTTTGAATCTAAGCTTGTGAAGTTGTAAGGTCTAGATTTTCCCTTTCTTGCCAGATGGCTTCAAGCTGGGAAGCCATCTAGTAGGGAGTCATGGCCCTTTGAAGAGGGACAGAGGCTGGCTCAGATAGTGACTGCTGCTGTTAAAAGGGGGGTGTGAGCTCCAAGTAGTGTCACACACAAAGTGGAGAGGAAATAGCACAGATAAACAGAGCTGGTGATTGGCTGTTGAGAGAAGATAGGCTGGGAAACACCCGTACAGTTTGAAGTGAGAGAGTGTGTGTTGGCCTCCTCCCTGGGCTAGACTCCAGAGACCTGGAGCACCAAAAGTAGATCCATAAAAGTGATTTTTGTGTGGGGAGTCGGGGAGCAAGTTCCTGTTGGTCACTTCAGGCTTCCCAGTAACTATTTGAGCAGGTAACATTGAACATTGCCTGGTGTGCCATTAGAGAGGAGCTTGGACGGAAGAGTAGCCCGAGGTAGGAGAGAGTAAGTATCCTAGGGTCCACCTGTGCTTCTATGTGTGTCCCAAGAGTGGTGGAGGACCAACTTTTTAAAACTTTTTCATACATCTTCCTTGCTCATTTTGGGGGAGGGGAGTATGGCTTTGGTTTTGAGTCAGAGGTCTTAAAATGTAACCTTAGCTGTCCTGGGGCTCTGCAGACCAGGCTGGTCTCAAACTCAGAGATATGCCTGCCTCTGCCTACCGAGTGCTGGGACTAAAAAGCATATGTTACCACTGCCTGACTCCAATTTTAATTTTTATTTTAAATAAGAATTACTAGGAATAGAAACTGAGACGAGCTGGAGAAATGTCTCAGAGGTTAAAAGCACTTGCTGCTCTTCCAGAAGTCCTTGGTTTGAGTCCCAGCACCCACACTGGGGCACACAACTATCTGTAACTCCAGTTTCAAGGGATATAATGCTTGCTTCTGGCTTTCTCAGGCATGCATGTAATACACACATGAAGCAAACTCTTACACACATACAATATTTGTAAAAATAATAATTAGTGGTTTAAGTTTCAAGAAGAAGAGTTTTACTCTGTAGCTGCAGGTTTTCTTATTTTACCTATTTTTCCTTGTGCACTATCTTCATTGTTCTGGGGTGGCTTCTCACACTGTTTCCTCAGCCTGGGATGTTCTTGCCCAGCCTTTGGGGCCCAGCAGGAACTGTCTTCCCTCAAGCCTCGTGGGTCCCTCAGGTGCTGCTGATCTTCAGACCCGCCCAGCCACTTCTCCACAGAGTAGATAACCTCATCGGTCCTCCCCACAGCCAGGTCAACACCCCTTTGTTTGACTCAGTCTTACACTGCGGTGCTGTTTCGTGTGTGCGCTTGGTTGTTTCATTCTTCATACAGCCCCACAGTCTGTAGAACAGTCTCCTCTGTGTTTTTGGGTTTTTAGTTTGCTTGTTTGCTGAGATGGGATCACACTGGTGACCCTGAACCCACCAATCCTGCTTGCCTTTGCCTTTGCCTTTGCCTCTCAAGGGCTGGGATTAAAGGTATATGCACCTCACCCTGCCTTAATAGAGGTGAAGCTGGGAGGATAGCCTGCCTCTTTTGTGCTGGGCTCCCAAGACCACATGGTCCTCTCAGGTCCTAATTGTGGAATCCTCAGTTTCCTCAAAGTCTCTCACAAATTTGAAGTCTCTTTTTTTACTAAGTTTGTTATTTGGGAACCAAACAGAATAAGTCATATAGCATCACAGACCCCTTTGGAAGAAAGGAGGGAACTAGGGTCTGTGGGTTTGCATTGATGCCTGGGGTGAAGGGAACGTTGTAAAGAACACACAGGCAGACAGACACGCTTAGGAGTGACGGTGTCTCCACCTGTGCGTCTGTCTTTCCCTTTTGAGTTACTTATTTGAAGCATGTCTGTGCCTGTGTAGGTGTGTGAATGTGTGGTCCTTAGGCTTGGTAGTGAGAACCTGCACCCACTGAGTCATCTCACTGGCCCTCCACTGATGGTTTTAAAACGCAGGGGTATGGCTTGCTGGTTCAAGAGAAACCATCCAGCAGACATGGAACATTTTTCCTTTAAGAAAATAGGTTTCTTGAAAAGAAAGGAAGGAAGAAAGAAAGAAGAGAAAAGAGAGAAACCTGACGGTCTGAGTTCAGCTCCTGTGACCCACACGGTGAAGCAGAGTGTTGACTTTGACAACTTGTCCACGGACCCAGCACTCCACGTCACCTGTGTGTGCATACATATAGGAAGTGTTTAAAAAAGCAAAAAACGGTGCATCTTTAGTCCCAGCACTTGGGAGGCAGAGGCAGGCAAATCTCTTGAGTTCAAAGCTAGCCTGGTCTACAGCGTGAGTTCAGGACAGCCAGGGCTACACGGAGAAACCCCGCCCTGAAAATAAAAAAATAAATAAAAAATTAATGGGAGAACTTGAGAACACATTGAAAAAGTCACTTTTAACTCAAGCCAGGAACTATTTGCTTTTTCCCTTGGAGTATAGTATGTTGAATGTCTTTTCTTCCTGTCTGCTTATGGTCAACAGAGCTGCCTTCCAAATCCAACTCTGACATTAGCAGGGCAGAACAGTGACTTAAGGGGTGGCGGCACAGCAAGCTTTCCTTGGTGGACTCCAGCGCTGGTCTTCAGATGCTGCAGCATCCGATCACCTGAGAGGCTTGTAAAGCTGCAACATGTGGCGACTCCCATCGTTTCTAACGCACAGGGTCTGGAGTAGGGCTTGAGAGTGTGCATTCTGAACTGCGTGGCAGTTTGTGGACCACACTTGAGTACCATAAGTTCCAGGTCCTGAGCAGTGGGCAGTTAGCTACAGTAGACATGCCCACACTTATGTGGATAGATGTACCTCTTAGAATTCTTGGAGTGCATTTGGAAAAGTGGAATTTAGCATCAAAGAGGTTTTCCTTTTGAAGCTTGGGAGTCCTTGTTCCATGTATTTGAAGGAGGAGATGTTGTGGAAAATGACAGTAACAAATGAATATTTTATAGTTAGTCTAACAGTATCTAATTGGCTACAAATGTGAATTTGCTTTTATAAAATATGAGGTGAATGTTAAGTCACAATTGAAGCAGTATTTTAAATAACTTTGTTTTTAAAATTTAGGTTCATAATGGAATATAAAGTAGTTTAACTTAGCTTTCTCATCTCAATGTGCTGTTTACTGTATTTATTTTTCTCTTTTTCCTCCAGGCTGCTGACTTGAGTAAACCAATAGATAAAAGGATATACAAAGGAACACAGCCTACTTGTCATGACTTCAACCATCTGACAGCCACAGCAGAGAGTGTGTCTCTCCTAGTGGGCTTTTCTGCAGGCCAAGTCCAGCTTATAGATCCAATCAAAAAAGAAACTAGCAAGCTATTTAATGAGGAAGTAAGTAGCACTCCGCCTTAGCTGTTAAGAATCCCTGTAAGAGTTTCTGTGTTCTTACTCAAAGGTAGTGGTGCCGTATTTTACACTTTGAGCTAAGCCCATTTTTTTGTTTGCTCAGCTCTCTTTACCTAGTATTATGCAAGTTTAAATGTGGTAGATTAATGTTCTGAACTTTTATTTCTTCGAGGTAACTAACTTTTGTGCATTTGTACAGAGAATGACCAGCTATCCACAGCAGGTACTTTGAAACCCTTCTGCATGGGGGGGCTGGGGAGATGCCTCAGTGGGCAAAGTGTTACTTTGGATTTCCAGCACCCACATAAAAAGCCAGGCATGGTCATGTGTGGAGACCGAAGGATCCCAGGGACGTCAGCACTCAAAGAGCTCCAAGTTTAGTGAGAGACCCTGTTTAAAAAGAAACAAAGCAATAGAGGAAGCTGCAGTGTGCTGACCTCTGGTCTCCATAGGTGTGTGTGCACATGCCTGTGGACACACATCGCTTCTATAATGGGGATAAGCATATTAATAACTTGAGGTGGGATGTTAGGTGTTTTGTTTTGTTTTTTTGAGAAAAGGTCTTGCTGTGTACCCTGGTTGTCCTGGAACTCACAGAGATCCTTCTGCCTCTGCCTTTTCAGTACTGGGATTAAAGGCATGCACCACCAGGCCTAGCTCTTGATATGTATATTTTAAACAAGAAAATACAGAATTCCAAACATTGTTCACATCACTGAACAATTTCATACAGATGGCATGACTTGGGGACATGCCCTAAGGCTGCTCAAAATGCCGATGACGCTTTTGTGTGTGTTTGACAGACATTTGGCTAGGGGCTAGCTCTCATGCTCTTGAAAATATTTTTTGTAAAATTACCTTTGATGTGCTTAGGAATCCTGGACCTAAAACTGAATCACAAGACACAGGTTTTGCCAGTATTGTGTGCAATGGGGTTTCTTATGCATTTTCAGTCCTGTTCAGGTAGGAGCTTGAGCTGTCTTGTTAGTCTTCTAGGGTCTGACTGCCAAAGTCTCTCTCTGATTTGGCAAGGTTCCAGGGTTTAGGGTAGGCTCTGGGACGGTATGCGGAGTTTCCCCGTTCACTTTATCTCTTGGGTCAGAGCCTACCTGATGGCTCAGGCAACTGATCACAAAAGACATTGAAAGAAAAAGAAATAGGGGAGGGAGCCCAGGATTCCTTCTCTAGGTCTAGGGACTGGCTACGCTGCTGTTAAGGAGGAAAATTCAACTGATTACCTTTTTTTGCTGCAGCCAGGACTGTAAAACAGCTTCTAGGCAAATCTGCAAGGTGTTGTAAAAGGGGGCTCTTTGATTTGAGATTAGCTCCTGCTCAGGGGCAGGCTGCTTGTGGAGGCCTCCGCAGGCTAAAGTAAACTTTTTCCTGCTTGTCCTAGGCTGATAGTTAGATCCTGAATTGCTGTTAACTTGTTTGTAAATTAGTAAGAAAAAGAAAAAGGGGGAGAAAGTCAGCAAAGGCTATTCACACACACATGCTCAAGAAAAAAGGTGGATGAAGTTACGAACTTTAACTTCAACGAATTCCTACAAGCTGACATATGACAAAGATGCTGATTTCTGCCAGCATCCCCTCTGCAGAAACTGCAGCAAGTTCAGGCTGCCGGTTCCATAGTGTCAGCCCATACATACACATAGACAAACAATCAGACATACAGACCTGTACATACTCTTGCACACATTCAGTGGACAATGCAAAACGAGCTCCTTATATACTTACAGACAGTTGACATACACTTATGTAACATATGTACAAAAACCAGACAGATGAACATATTTACATGTAAACGTACCTACATACATATTTACAGCCCATGAATGAAGCAAATTCCAGCTGGCTTTCATTCAATGGGCTTCTACCATCAGGCTTCTGCCAATGGTGTGTGTGTGTGTGTGTGTGTGTGTGTGTGTTTGTTTTTGCTACCATTTATTGTATAGCCTTTCTCCCTCTGAGAGAAAGCTCGCAGAAATAGAATTATCTCATAGTCAAAAAGGCAATTAATCATAAAAACAGATGAATTCTAAAATACAACAGGTTACATGTTTTAAAACTAAACATTTTTTTAAGATTTATTTATTTATTATGTATACAGTGTTCTGTGTGCATGTACAGAAGAGGGTACCAGATCATATTATAGGCAGTTTTGAGCCACCATGTGGTTGCTGGAAATTGAGCTCAGGATCTCTGAAAGAGCAGCTAGTGCTCTTAATCTCTGAGCCATCTGTCCAGCCCAAAATTATTTACTTTTATTTTATGAGCATTGGTGTTTTGCCTGCATGTATGTCAATGTAACGTGTCAGATCTTGGACTTAAAAACAGTTGTGAGCTGCCATGTGGGTGCTGGGATTTGAACCCAAGTTGTCTGGAATCTCATCAGTGCCCTTAGCCACTGAGACATCTCTCCAGCCCCAACATTTCTTATCTATGCATCCATTACATAAGTTCATAGTGAGTTCAGAGTGACAAAGGTTGACAAGGTCTAAAGGTTAACAGGGTCTAAAAGTTAAAAGAATATATGTCTTTTCAATTAAGACTGATCTGGCTACACATTTTCAGCTGTCTCTAAGTTTATAGTGAGTTCAGGACAATAATTTTATCTGTCGTTCATTCTAAGAAACAAAGTAAATTTAAAATGACAGTATATAATGTCATAAGGTAACATATACAAACAGAATAGTTTGTATATAATGACATCAAGGTTTGTACTTAATTAGACATTGCTTGGTAGTCTCACAATTTGGGTTCATGGAAAGTTTAAACCAAATTGCCATATTTATGGTATATACCAGGATTCGTAATGAAGGCTTATCTTGAAGAAACAAATCTGTCTCAAACCTGTCTCCTAGTGAGTCATCTGGAGGTACACAAAGGTATTTTTTGCAGCCATAAGCTTTAGTTTTTAAAATTGTTTGAATCAAATCAGGAATTCCATAATCAGGAATTAATTCATTTGAACAGCAGTATATCTTTATTTAGATCCCGTAGGAAGTTTGTTTAATCAGAGTGTGTAAATATCCAGAAAGCGATGATTCACGTCATACCAGAGTATGTAGAGAGATATAGATAGCAGTACACAAAGAATGAGTGTCAGAGACTGGAAGTAATTCTGGGGTGTACCATGGTACAGACCTTCCAGAAGGCCCACCTGCCTAGTGAGAGCTCTTTAACAGAATGGCTCCTGACACTGTCTGTCACCTGTTCAGGAATATGTCAGGACTTTGACATAGCAGACAGAAGTTGCCAAATAGATTGTGCTTATTCAAGCCATTGCAGTGGCTTTTTAGTTCCACGTATTACCACATATTTGATACTTTTTCTCTCCTGTTTCAGTATGACTTTCCAAGAAAATGGCAGAGATGCAGTAGACTTGCTGAGGGGGACACTCTGGCTGTCAGTCTCCATCTTGATACTCAGCTGTTTATGAAGGGTTGTATTACATGCGCTTCATGTCAGAAGGATGTGTGGTTTGCTCTGCTGCTTGGCTTTAATACCGTGTGTATGGAGCAGGGGCGTGCTCTCAGGTCTAGTTTGTAAGTAATTTTGGGAAGGGGAAGAATAGCTCAGACACACAGCTTGACACACAGCGGCCGTAGTTCTGATTCTCTGTAGTCCTATGGCATATGCTGTCTGCATGTCCAGTATCATCCTGGGTCCTTCTGGGTTGACTTGCCCTCTGAGTCAGCCACTGAAGAGAAAAACTCTTTAACCCCATTGTCCCTTTAAAATATTAATCAGAAAACAATCTGTTTGCCCAGCCATTTTACTAATGCCATCTGGGGAAGTGATTTGTAAGTAGCTGGGCAAGCTCTCTCTCTCTCAATCAATCAGTCAATCAATCATCTATCTAATTTATCTATCTATCTGGAACTGGGGAAGACAGCCAGGTAGGAGGCACAAAATTGCTCTTCTCTGCACTGTTAAATGGAAACTGGAGTTGGAGTCATTGTGGGACCTTGTTTGTGTTTGGGTAGAAAAGCGTGTGATGGACTGGGACTGGATTGAACCTCGTGCCAAGCTGTTGGTAAACAAGACGCAGGGCAGTTGACTGAGGATGGCACAGATTGCCACTTAGAGAACAAGAAAGGTTTGTGTTTTGTGCTGGGGGAGGGTCAGGGATGGAGCCTACATGGCTCTGAGAATACTCTGGCCGCCTCAGCCAGCCCCCTTCCGCCCCGGTGATGGAGCTGCAGGGTAGAGAGCAGCTCCTCCCTCTTCATGATGTAAGCACGAGGTCTTGCCTACAGTTCAGAGTGGCTGTTCAGAATGCTAGGACTACTGTGCATGCTTTAATGCCAGATTGGCATTTGGAACGCAAGATTGAAATTGTGTGCTCTTCACAAGTCTTTGGTAGTGTGAATCCATTTCTTAGGCAAGAGGGCTGTGTTTCTCAGAGTGCCAGAAATGATGTAGAAATATGTCAGCGTGACTTAGGTTTCTGATACTTGTACATTGAAGGCTGGAAGGTTGGTTTTCACTTTGCAGATGAAGAAATCTGCAAAGAGATGCTATGTGCCTTATTCACATCAGGTAGCAAGTTCATAGAGCTATCATGATAGAGCTGGAACTAGAAATCAATTCCAGAAACTCTGGTTGTAGGCTGTAAGCCTCACCAGGTATGGTTGCCAGCCTAACCTTGCCGTCTCAGCAGCTTGCTCAGTAAGGATGGACAGGTACAGTCTAGGCATGTGTTGTCACATATCAGTGAGGTATTGCTGGGATAAGTACTATATGTGTTCTTTTGGTTGTTTCATGTGGATCAGACTGGCCTGGAACTCACAATATGTAGACCAGGCTAGCTTTGAATTCATAGAGATCCACCTGCCTCTGCTTCCCAAGTCCTGGTATCAAACATGTGTTCACCACACCCAACACACGTGTTCTTTAATATGTGTCAAATAAAGAATGTTTTTAAACTCATTTATTTATGTCTGGGTGTTTTGCCTACGTCTGTGTCTATGCAACACATT